GAGCGGCCGGTGTCTCTCCTCCCACACCGCTCAGCCGCCTATCACAGTCCGACAGAGCGGTGTGGGGCGGAGACAGCCCACGCTGTCACAGGAGGCTGGGCTCTCCTCCCTGCACCACCCCGCCCAGCCTCCTGTGACAGCGTGTCATTGAGGAGAGCAAGAAACAAACACTCAGCAATCAGTGATCGCTGAGTGTTTGTAGATAATTGAGGACATGGTATGGTTACTATATCCTCAATTATGAAAGAATGGGAGTGATCTATATCCCCTCCTGTTCATTCATAGTTGTAGTTATAGTAAACATACTCAGTCCTCATGTTATCAATGAACAGGAACACTCATAAAGGATGCCTGTTCATTGATAGCAGGGGATACAGAAAAAGAGATTGAGGACTCTGTGTTCTCAATCTCTTTTTCTATTTTAACCCCTTTGTGACGGGAGACGTACAGTGTACGTCTTGTCACTTTGTGCCTATATGACTGGCCACGTACACTGTACGTGACGAGTTATATCAGGCTTTGTAATGCCGGTATTTGCTGATTCTCAGCATTTAACAGTCATTCATTAATGTCTCAGTATTGAGGCATTAATTAATGAAATAATTAAGCTTTTTGTAAAAGCTTCTTCCTTTCATTAATGAAAGAATGAAGCCGTTACATGCAAATAGAGGACCGCAATTTGCGATCCCGTATTTGACAGCTCAAAATAGCAGAGAGGCAGCAGTGACTCACCTCACCTCTCTGCTATTTGTTTTGACAGCTCGAGAGCCCGATGTTTAGATACATTTCAATGAAAGGATACAATGTATATCTTTTAAATGAAATGTATCAGTTCTGTTCGTCTAGGCACGATCAAAGAGCTTTTAGTGAGATCTGAATCTGACTAAAGTCAGGATCAGTCTCTAAGGTTAAAAATTAATACAAATTAAAAACATTTAAAAAAAAAAGTTTATAGAAAAATAAATAAACATAAAATATTTAACAAAAATTAAAAATGTGAAAAAAATTAAAAGAAAAACATGTGTGGGGGTGGGGGGTACAGTTCCAGTGGATGTTTATATAATGGGGGGGCAAAAAAATTATTTCTGCCCCGGGCGCCCATAACTCTGGTTATGCCACTGGAACTCCTCGCACTCCTCCCACCTCTCCTACGCTACACTTCGGCGCCTCAAGCGCTGCCTTTTCTCACACCAGCTCCTGGATATATGGCGCATGCAGCACCCTTCCACCAGGGACTACACTTACTTCTCCGCCCTACACCAAAGTTATACCCGCATAGATCTCTTTCTAGTCCGCCAAATATCCAGGGTACGACACACGGACATTGGGAATGTTACCCTTTCAGACAACGCTCCAGTCTCCCTCCTTCTAGATCTGTAGACCCCCTCCTCCCGGTCCCTGGTGGTGAAGACTGAACGATTCCCTTTGCCAGGAGCCTGGTTTTGCTGACTCCCTGGGGAGGGACAGTGCTCTGTTCTTCACAGAAAGCACCACGCCTGATACCCCCCTACACCGTGTGGGAGGCGCACAAAGCTACTATCAGGGGTCTGCTTATTGCCCAGGGCTCCAGGATCAAGAAACAGAGGCAGAAGGAAGTGGCTTCCCTCCTGGCACAGATCCATACCCTAGAAACCCAACACAAGCATCATGCTGAGTCCACCATTGGAGCCCAACTACGTCTGGCGCGGGAACAACTCCGTACCCTGTGCAGCTCTAGGGTTAAGTCCACAATGCTTAAATGTTGCCGTACTTTTTACGAGTATGGCAACCAATGCGGCAAGTACCTTGTGAGAGCACTACGTAAACAGCACACCCGGACATAGGTCACCTCTGTCACATCACCCATGGGCAACAAATCTTCACTCCCAGCGGAATTCGCTCTGATAGGATTCAGCTACCTGCAGCGGATTGAGGATACAGGATTCACTTTCACCCTATTCTGGACCCCATTCCTACACCTTGAAAAAACACTTAAATAAAGAATTTATCAAAAAAAACCTCTCCACCCTTCTTACCATTATCTCCCCCAACAGAGCTGCATCCTCCCCAGGTGCAGTCCATCCCTGCTGTAGAGCTGGTAAAAGACTGAAAAGTCAGCCATTTCTCTTTGAACCCAAACCCCTCATTTTTACACATGGTGATTTATTTTTTTAAGGAACAATACAAAACAAAAAAAAAGTGTGGGGTTACCCTTAAAATCCATAACATGACCTTATTCAGCCATATAGCCTTGGCGAGCAAGAAAAGAGACAGATTTATGTGCCGTCCCTCTTCCTGAACCATACTAGGCCACATGCCTTCAAAATTGGATTAAAGGTAGAGTGGCAAATATCCTCTCTTGGCATGACTGCAAGCTGAGAGATTGCAATTGTGATGTCTGAATGGCTAAATTGCAATAATTTCCATGATGTTTTATTAAGCTTTTAATTTTGGACTTTCTATCATTTCCGGTTCCAGTGATAATGTATTACCAGTAAAAAAACCTTTATTATAAAGGGTCTTCCAGGTTCTGATTATATCCCACATAATAAAACCTACACACTTTTTGGGCATTGCATATGACAATGGAGGTGTCCTTAAAACTCCAAATGTAGCATTTTCTTTTCACTTTCATGAACTTGCAATTGTTTATGTACTTACATAGTATAGGATCGTTCCAATGACTATGGTGAACATAACCGGTGATCAGCCTGTGGTGGGCTGAAGAAAGGAAAAATGGTTACTGCGTTTCTACACTGGGGATGGTCCACCGGTTCGATTCGAACATGAGTTTGACTCGAACATCGCCTGTTCGAGCGTTCACCGAACGCCGAACTTTGTGGAATGTTCGCAGCCTGTTCGACTGTGCAACGTCCCACAAGGCAATGAGCCCTCTGAAGCTCTAATTGGTTAAAGGCTTGCACCTAACCACAGGTACAGTGCAAGACTTTGCCAAATCAGGGCTCAGAACTCAGTTGAAGCCATGATTGGGCAAAGTCATGATGACTTTGCCCAATCATGGCTCACCTGTCAGATGATGTCAATCTACACAATTGGACGAAGCTAGCTGTCACCGCTAGCTCCGCCCAATTTTTTATGTTTTGCTGGCATCTGTCAAAATGCCATTATGCGGCAGGAGTCCGCGGGGAGCGGACTGGACGGCGGGCGTCATATTTTAAAAATTATTATTATTTCGATTTATTTTTAATTGTTTTATTTTTTATTTCATCTTGTCATTGTGGACAACGCTGGACGCCATGATTGACATAGAATTAGGTCGGTGGATCCATTTTAGTCTGGACTTTTTAAAACTATTTTATTTAACCCTTTAGTGAATGGGTACAAGTACCCCTTACTCATTCACAAGGTGGGAGTGGCATCTGGGTGCCCCCTTAAAGGGGTACCCCAATGCAAATAAGCCCCTTTGCCCACGGACCCCCACAATCACCGGGACAGGGTTGTGGGGACGAGGCTCTTGTCCCCATCGGAACGGGGATAAGGTGGTTTTCCAGGGAAACCATCCCCCCAGGGGAAACCACCCTTTTCCATGGGAAAACCACCCTCTCAGTGCCGAGGGCATGTGGCCTGGTGTGGGAAGCTTGTTCATCCCTCCCTTTCTGGCCCTGCCAGGCCTATGCTCGGATCAAGGGTCTGGTATGGAAATTTAGGAGGGAGCCCACGTTTCTTCCCCCCCCTCCCCATTGTTGGGGGTGCGGTTCCTTTTTAAAATTCCTACCAAACCTTAAGGGCCTGGTATGACTTTGAGTGGTAACCCTATGCTTTAAAAAAAAAAAAAAATTGGTCCCTCCTAACATTCCTAACAGACCTAAAGGGTCTGGTATTGTTTCGGAGGGGGATCCCCACACTTTAAGAGTAAAAAAAAAAGAAATGTCAGTTTTGCTGCAGCAGGTTTTATACATCGTACAGATCCGCCACTTCACAGGCAGGTTATGGGGGAACCCCCAGACACAGTATTTGAAGGAATTTTTCATTTTAATTCTTACCCTTTAAGTCATGTTAAAATCACTGCTCCTTTAAAAACGTTTTGTTTTTTGTTTTTTTGTTCTCATTGATTCCTGTCCAAAGGGACTCAGCAGATACTTCAATCTCCTCTTCAGGTTTGATCAAACCAATGCAGTATGGAGGGCTAGTGAATATAATTTCAGGGTCTGGAGTTAGTGATAGAAGTGCCACAAAGTCTAATTATGCCAACACTTTAATGTCACACCAGCTCTGCTAACCTGCATCATTTTGAATGCCCTCTCAATGTAGCACAATGCATGAAAAATTAAGCAGATACCTTTTTTTCACTAGAGACAACAATGTACAGATGGTTCCCAATGTTCCCAATGTGTGTTTGCAAAGTGTGTTGGGGACTACTCCACCAATGCTGTGTTATCATTAGGGATGCACCTATACCGGTACTGAGTACTCATGAAAGTGCTAATACCGGCGCATTAAATTTTTAAACTGAAGCCGGCACTGTAAGTAGGTGCCACCATTCACAGGAAGGCTGCCAAGGTCCCCAGCACTTCCTGTGAATCGTGGTGCTTGTTTGCCACAAATCTTTGTCTCCTTCCTGTGGAACCATGCTGCCTGCACCAGCCCGTGAGACCGACCTGGACCACTAGTGAGACCTCTCACAGCCCACCATAGATGTATACATTGACTGCAGATCATTTACTAGAATATATGTTTTGTCTTAGACAAAAAGCATGATTTAGTCTTTGGAATTATGAAACATTTTACAATGGGGCAATGCAGGATTGTCATTACAGTAAAAATGACACAAAATGCAGCTGAGGCCCAGCTGCGTAAAAAAATTATGTATACAACCTTTGCAGTTCTGGAGCACTGAAAGAGAGCTTTAGAGGCTGCACAAGGTGGTAATGCTGGCAGGCCAGCAACAGTGGCAGGTAATGGAGCCAGGCCAGCCATGGTGGCAGGACATGGTAATGCTGTAAGATATAAAAATGTTTTTTGTGCCAGCTTTCACATAAAAAGTTGTTGGAGGTTTAAAACTTATTGCTGATCCAGTACGATGTTATTTTGGTAAAAGTGAGCTGGTCAACTGTGTCAGGGGACATTGGATTTGTATGCCTGTTACAAACATGACTGCTGCCTGTAATGCCCATTCTGATAGAACACTGGCCACAGGGCAGGCTAGCAGCTTGATTGCATACTGGACAAGATGCAGCATGGGCATCAAAAATTCCAGAGGGTTCTCCATTCGAATGGTGCCTGCTTAGACCATGGACCCCAAGTAATCTAAGATCATATGGTTTAGGCCAGGGCCGGTGCTAGGAGTTTTGCCTACACAGGCAAAGGTGCATTTTTTCATTATTACACTACACAGTGTGCACTACAGTAGGAACACCAAAGGGGTAGTGTCACTGATACCTGCCTTGTTGTGGCTCACCATTCTTGTCACTTGTTCAGGAGTTACTGATGTGGTTAAAAGAACCTCAGATCCTCAGAGCCCAACTTTATCCCATACTCTCACAAATACTCAATGGAAGCCGACAGTTGCAAGTGCAGCTGCTGCAGTATGGCCATCATCAAGTACCCATGCTTGGGCAGAACACATATTAGACAGAAGATAGGCAGCCTGTGTTGCCACTGAATTTTGATCAGACACTCTTCTGGCCTACCAGAGGACATTATGGAAGCCATGATACCTAACTAGTGACCACTGCACCACCAGGTTGAGGATGTGTGCCAGGAAAGGCACACGTCCCTGCTGAAGGGCAAACAGCAGGTTGGTGCCATTGTCACACACAACCTTTTCCGGCACAAGATGGCATTGGGGTCAGCCACCTCTTGACCTGCCCCTGAAAAGCTGACAGAATTTCTGGTCCAATGTGACTCTTGTTCCCCAGGCATACCAGCTAAAAAACAGCCTGGCAGCTTTTTGTCTGGGCCTTTGCATATGCTCTTGGCCCCACACAGCGAAAAAGTTATTTATTAAAGTTCCCAACATCAATCATATCATGCACTGATGTAGATCCTTCTTATTTATGATGACTGACCATCTAAAATTGTTTCCAGATCGCCCAACAATGTTTCTATAATACCACAATGACCTGCAACCCCATGATGCTGCTCCACAGTTACTCTCATCCTAAATGACAGATCCCCAGCTGGCTTCTGTTTGCAAAACTAAAATGCCTGGGGAACCTCGGTGATGTCATTGATCAAATATGGGCATGACCATATTTGGTGAATGATGTTACGCAGGATTCCCTACTGCTCCCTACTTTTATGTGTAGGTTTAAGGCATTGGGTAATATTTTACTTGTTTTGCATTGGTACATTTCCCTATAGCAGTGCTCATCTACTCATGCCCTTTTCTTTAACTCAATCTTGAACATTTGCCTTGAAAAAGGTCAGAACAAAATGATAAGCGTTGGCTCCAATAGACATCAGTGAATCAGCGTTATGTTCAGGGTTGGTGAGCTGCCCTGCTGGTTCATTAAATGTCCAGTGAACCAAACCTTGCCCCGTTCACTCCTCACTATTCATTATCAGGAATGAGCTTCAAACTATTTTTTCTTACTATGAAAAAACATAAATATTGAGGTGTCAGAACTTTTGCTACAACATTGGTATGAAATAAAAGAGATGAGGTCACAAAATTAATTTCAAACTCATAAGAAACTCACGTTGAAACTTTACAAGGAGAAAACTAAATAAAGTGTGGACACCGTCTTGGAAGAAGACAATGGAACACCCCTGAGATATTTGCCATGTACTCCCATGACCATTGTGTCTTAGGTATCTGCCTCTGGGAGGTAAACAGTTTATTTACCAGGCTCATAAACCATGGACAATGCCTTTGTCTGAATGGTAAATTATCACACTAGTTTGAGCTTTGCTTAAATAAATGAAATGACTGAACAGATGTCCTAAGAGACGGACTGGTAGAAACAGGGTCAAAAGTTGTATTAAAATGTATTATATCTGATATCTTATACAGAATTTGTTATGCCAATCACCCACCTCAAATAATCAGATATCTACACGTGTGTAGTCAAATATAGAAACATGTCATAGTTATGATAAGTGACTGATTCCACCACTTATATGAAGGTTGTTATTGTTTAATCTCTACCTTACTGCCATGTAAGTATCATGAATGAACCAACTTACCACCACCCGAGATTCCATAAATAAAATAAGGGTAATACACTTTATTAATGTGGACCTTTATACAGATCTTTACAATAACAACAAGCACACCTTTAGAAATGTTTAGTAATGACAATCTATAAACAGATACTTCTAGATCATTGCCGGCTTTCTATTCTTTGCATTCCTTATTTCTCTTTTCTTCCCCAGTCTTCTCACAGTGGCCTTATTTACTAAGCTCAGATCACTAGCTCTCCTATTACGTCCTGAAAATCTGGCAAATGTAAACATGCACATCATGATCCCCCCTTTTGTTGGTAGTCATTGGGAGTTATATGGATCCTCTGCTGCTGTCTCCGAACTCCTGCATTTTAGCTGAGGGATGTCACACCGGATGTATGCAGCCTCTGTCAGGCTGGATGTCACTCTGCTCTGTGCTTCTGACACACAACAGAGCATGTTCCTCTGGCAGTTAGAGTGACACAATCATTCAGAGGTGTAGCTAGATCTAGGGTAGGTGACCTAGTTGCCCCCTGAATAGTGATGTCTCTTTTTAGAGCTTCTACTAA